CTTTCCACATGCTTTTTTTTTTTTTTTTTTAAAGCTATCATGTCATTGGTGGTCTGTTATCACAAGTAGCTGGAGCATAAGAGAAGAGCATACATATGAGTCTAATAAAAATGTTATCACCATAAAAATCCTAGTTGTACACCTTAGAATACCTGTTCATCTGAAAGGCATGAGTACATTTAGTATACCATGAGATTAGCAATAATGAGTGTTATACCCATATAGAAACCTTTGTCTCTTAATTTAGTTTTCTACTAAAGGCATCTTCTAATAATAAAACATTATTGTTTTACCCACAGAGAACAACCTTTCTATTATAACCAATATACACATATTACAATAATATGTTTAGCAATGTTTATTGAGATGTGCCTCCCATAGGGCTATGAAAATTACTGGGGTCCCATTAGTGAACAAAGGCTGATTAAGATGTTTCCAGGGAGCTGCTCCTTGATTAACCATGGGGAATCTTGTTCAGCCATTTTCTTAAGCCAAAGGGAGTCTCTATTTAAGTGTCCTAAAACATTTTAGATGACTTATGAAAACCAGATTATAATAATTAACATATTATTTTTGACCAATGAATGACCCCCACCCCCAAATTATTGTACACAGACAACTGTATTGTACTAGTAAAACCAGTTTTGACATCATTTTGATCAGCTGGCAACCTGGATAGAAGCATGTCTTTAACCCTAATGACATTATCTCTTTTTTTGTGTGTGCCAGGGATTGGACTTGGGTCCTTGTGCTTGCAAGGCAGGCAGCAGAACCACTGAGCTAAATCCCTGGCCCTATGACATTTAACTTTAAGTAAATATCTTACAAATCCATAAAGGCAAAAAGAAAAAAAAGTTGAGCTTAAACAAAACAACTATAAATACAGTAACAGATTGAACAGACTGATGGATAAAAACACAGAAGACAATTTGTTTATAAACCATAGTGCACTCATTCAGCCAAGTTAAATTATAATAACTCTTTATAGTTTTTAGGTTTGTAACTATAAATAAGACTAGTCAGAACTTTTACACTTGATCTTAGCCAAAAGGCCGAGAAGTGATTAGTCAGAACTTTTAATAGTCAATTAACAGAGATGACTTGTAATAAGAATCAGAAGGAATAAAAACCTTTTACTCTTATAAAAACAAAGACAATTTTTAAGATAGGTCCTAGGCTGGTGGCTTTGTCTAATAGCCACAGGCTTCCTTTGGAAGGAAGTAATCTTGTCTTATTGAGAGATGTATATATATATAGTGAGATCTTTGCCTAAAGTTAGCTCAGATATCTCTGGCATCAGGAGAACTATGACAGCCACAGCTATAAGATACATAGATCATCCCTTTGGTATAATGTCTAATTTATGACTCAAATATACTTCAGGCTATTGATAAGGTCCACAATTCTGCATAGGCATTCCCAAACCTGTGCCTCACTTTTCATCAATATACAGAATGAAATGTCCTTTCATTAGGCTCAGTGTTAGGGCATTTAGTGCTTGTTTAAGCTTCTGGAATGTGGTCTGGGAATCAGGTACCCAGGTTAAAATATGGGTATCTGCCTTTTGGGCTTCTTTTATAAGCTAATATAGAGGTTGTGCAATTTCACCATATCTTGCTATTCAAAGGCAACAAAAGGCTGTCATTTCTATGAATCCCCTTAGGTGTTTTAGGGTCTAGGGTTGCAGAAAGGAAAATATCAGTTTAATTCTCTCTTCTAGCCTTTGGGTTCCCTTAGATATGATAAGGCCGAAATATTTTTTCTCAAGGCTGAAAAGTTGTGTCTTAGATCTAAAAACCTTATATCCCGTCTGCTATAAAATTTAGCAGAGCATGGGTACCTTGGCTAGAGAGTTTTTCTGAGGGAGCACATAACATCATATACATATTTCAAGACCATGACTTGGGAATATCTACAGTATTTAAACAAGATTAAAAAAAAAAAATCTCTTCCCAGGAGGGGAATTGGACTTCCAGGCAAAATCAAAAGGAATGAGTAAAGAGAAACCTGTTCCAGTTGAAGCTAAGGGTTGCAAGAAATAGTGAGTCACCTCTTTTCCAGTAACTCCTTTTTCTGAGGTATGAGGGATGGAAAGAAGGCTAGGGTTGAACAAGAACAACAAAGAGAGATGTGCTAGTGTTTAGCAATAGGCTGATATTTATATTCTCCTATATAGTCATGATTACCCAAGGCTCCTCTGGAGATGACAGTTCAACCAGGGGGAGATGGCAGAGAGTGGCCTGGGGCTTTTTAGTCTTGTTGGACCATCTAATCAGATGGGCCCAATTCCTGGGGCCTTCACCTCAGGGGGCAGTCTAGCTTTCAATATTTACCTGTGTAATCAGGGCATGGCTTATGGGCCTCCTAAGGCAATCTCTCTTAAAGGGCTTGGTTTAGAAGTCTTACCCTTAGACTCTAAAGGTAAGAGTAGGGACCTCAGACTCTGAAGGCAAGTGGGGAAAGACTTAAGCTTGGTAATAGTGGATGGGGCTTTGACTAAACTTGTGTTGGAAATCTCATCCTCAGGGTCCAAAAGGCAAGAGTGGGAAACCTCAGGCTCACTGATAAGAGCCAGGGGTATCTGGTTTCCCTGGTGGCTTATATTTACATTTTTAATACAAGTAAAGATTATCTTTTAATGCAAAGAAAATCTGTACATCAGGTTATTATTATTATTATTATTATTATTATTATTATTATTATTATTTGTACCAGGGATTAAACTCAGGTCCTTGCACTTGTGAGGTAGGCACCACAACCACTGAGCTAAATCCCCAGCCC